GGACACTTAACTCTCGGAGCAAGCGCTTGCGGCCAACAGATTGGTTCAAATGGGTCAAAATTGGTTTTTGTGTGCTTCTATTATTTGGGGGATTAGTAGATATTATTCAAAAATTTATTGAACATGGTTGCAAAAAGGGTTGGCGACCTGCATTAACAGAATATTTGATAGTTGTTTATATTACATTAACGATAGCCATTACAGAATTCATGTGGGCACTGTATTTATGGTTCTATCACTTTGGATTATGCCTTTATTGTCTATTCTTGTTATGTACATCGAGTTGCGATGACTGTGATTGTTTCAAATTGTTCCTTGCCTTTTTTATATTTGAAATGTGCACCTTTATATGTTGGCTTTTATCAGGTTTTTCTTTTTTCTTTTTATTTTTACTACTGGCAGGCTTTGCGTGGTGTTGGTGTGTAATGCGATAATGGGTTAAAATACAGTACTGATAAGTAAACTCGGAAGGAATATGATACGAACAATTACTTTTCTATGGCATTGTTTACAAAAAACATTTTACAGGCCATATTTAACAATACATTTCTTATTCTTCCACAGGGGACATCCAGATGTGGAAATTAACATAGCGCTACGTCATTGTACTGTTTTGTTTGTTCTTTTCTGTTATTCTATTACAGTACATCAAGCAGATTATGATTATTACCTATGGTGATCGATTATATTTCCTAACTTAACAGAATCACACAGTATCTATATTAGCGATAACCCTGTGTATTTCAGGTGAAACTATGTAGGAATATGACATAAAAAGTATTTGAAACGCCATTTCCATGATGACTTTGAATTACTGAAGATATCCCTATTTTCTAATCACTAAATTATTATTTACAATTAAGTATATACAAATAATAAAAGATTGCTAGATAACCAGAATCCACACAGATGTAATAGTAGTAGGGAAATGGCGCATAAAGCGCGAAAACTATTTCGGCCCTTTTTCGGCCAAGGTTGCCCTTCAGACCCCGTCAACTGCTTTCTCATCGTCCAAAGTCACCCCTCAGACCCCGACTTTCATGGCTCACCATGGCTGGTTTTATGAACCTCACTTTTTTGGCTTTCATAAGAAATAAGGGTCGAAAAAAAAACCTTAGCCTACGTGCCCACCTCAGAGACCATGGCGCATAAAGCGCGAAAACCTTTTCGGTCCTTTTTCTACCAATGTGGTAATTATCTGCCCTTTATACACTGTTTGATAAAGAAAACAAAGTAAAAACAACATTTCCTATACATGTTCTTCAATCGGTAATGTCCAAACGCAAGTGTGTGCACGTTGTCGTCCAAGATCCAACGTTTGTTATCCGTGCACGTCATAAGGGTCTTGGT